AATTGCAGATGTTTATACGCATGAGAATGTCGGGTACGTACCTAAATCCGGATAAGTGCCAACGTGTAGTGCTGCAAACGATGAGATATATCTGCATCTGCATGTCTCTCCGTATGTGTATTAGTGTGTGTGTGATGTGTGTGTGTGTGTGTGTGTGTGTGTGTGTGCAGGATGAGCGGCATCCCGACTTGAAACACGAGCAATCACAACGACATGCACGCGAATTGAGGAAGAAAAAGTCAGTGCACGCATTTGTACGTGCGCGAGCATGTGTGTGTATGTGCGCGTGAACGTGGACGCTGCCCACGCCCTCACCCCCTTGATCATCATCACCACCACCATGGTCATCGTCACACCCTTTTGATCATCATCACCACCACCATGGTCATCGTCCCCCCCTTGATCATCATCACCACCACCATGGTCATCGTCACACCCTTTTGATCATCATCACCACCACCATGGTCATCGTCACACCCTTTTGATCATCATCACCACCACCATGGTCATCATCACACCCTTTTGATCATCATCACCACCACCATGGTCATCGTCACCCCTTGATCATCATCACCACCACCATGGTCATCGTCACCCCTTGATCATCATCACCACCACCATGGTCATCGTCACACCCTTTTGATCATCATCACCACCACCACGGTCATCGTCGTGTTTGTTGCGCCAACAGGAAAGAGCAGCAGCAGCGGCGCCAGCAGGAAAAACTCAAAGTTGAACGAAAACGCGAAGAGAAGAAACTCAAGTGTGTGAACATGTATCTGCATGCACGCATGTGCATGTATCAACATGCGTGTGTATATGTGCGTGTATGTACGTATGTGTATGTACATATGTGTGTGTGTGCGTGCGTATGTGTTTGTGTGTCTTCTGCTGCTGCTTTGATTCCCGTCTGCACCACCTGTCCCTTCACCTTTCCCGCCACGCATTGTAAAACCACTCATGCATGTGTGCATGTGTGTGTGCATGTGTGTGTGTGTATGTACAGGACATACGAGACACTGCAGGATGAGGCTTTGATGGAGACGAACAAACACGGCATGAGCGTGGACGACTACGAAGACGACTTTATGTGATGGCGGCCATGATGGACGATGCATGCTGGTGATGGGTGGTGAAGGGTTGCACTGACGATGATAAAAGGTGGTGGTGGCCGGTAAAGAGCAATGGTTTGATGGCTTTTTTGATCTCGCGTGGATGCATGCACGTGTTGACATCGGACACATGCGCGCACAACGGCAGTGTAGTTGTGCAGTTGTGCAGTTCAGTTTTGTTGTTGCTTAGTTGAAATGTGTCGTTTGTTTTGTTGCTGTTTCAAGTCTGCGTGTGCGCTGTGTACCTCCGCTTGGTTGCTTGGAGAGTCAGGTGCGCTGAGGTTGATGTTGAAATGTGGACACGAACACACTCACAGTGCAACATTGGTGCAGTTGACAACGTGTATTTTGAGGTTCACACCACACACACACACAGACACAGACACATACAGACACGAACAGACAGACATGAACAGGCAGACACAGACACAGACAGACACATACAGACAGACACAGACAGACACACAGACACACAGACAGACAGACAGACACACACACACACACACAACGTCGTATCAAACAAGCCTTCACGTGAGTATAAACGGAGACGACAGGGGGGGGGGGCGTGGTGAAAGATGTCGTGTCGATTGCGCAATTGTCACGATGACCACCAGTTGCCGATGATGATGGCGAGGATGACGATGGTGATGGTGGCACGCAGCACGCTCCCAAACAAAAACGCGTACACGCCCTGCGAGCCAAGTGGATGACGAGGAATAACGTGTGAAGGGGGGGGGGAGTAGATGGGAGGAGGGGTTGATGAGCGGCGTGCAGGCAAACACACAACACACCACGCATGCAGAGTCAGATACAACACACACACACACACACAACACACACACACACACAACACACACACACACACACAACACAAGCGCACATGCACACAGGCCAAAAAAAAAAAACGGTAATAACTAGACACAACACACCGCACCTTGACAAAGGCCCATGCGCGTGCGATGCGCGGCTGCCATGCTGCGAGCGTTGCCATCTGCTCTGGTGTCAAATTCTCCATCTGCGACTTGAGACGCGTGGCATCATCAACACTCATCTTCATGCCCATCGACTGCGACATGCTGGCGAGTGTGGCGGGGTCCATGCTCTTCATCATGTTCATTGCATTCTTCATCATCTCCGGGTTGTTCATCATATTCTGCATTGACGGCTGGCGACCAGCAATTGGGAAGGGGGAGGGGTCGTCGTGGTGTGTGAGCTTGGATGTCACGGGCGTATTTGGTGTGTGTGTGCATGTGTGTGTATGTGTGTATATGTGTGTGTGCATGTGTGTGTATATGTGCATGTGTGCATGTGTGCATGTGTGTGTGTATATGTGCATGTGTGCATGTGTGTATGTGCGTGTGCGTGCGTGTGTGCGTCGGCGCGTGTGTGTGTGTGTGTGTGTGTGTGTGTGTGTGTGTGTGTGTGTGTGTGTGTGTGTGTGTGTGTGTGTGTGTGTGTGTGTGTGTGTGAGTGTGTGTGTGTGTGTGTGTGTGTGTGCGTCGGCGTGTGTGTATCTGATACAGCAAATTCAAGCGCGCCCCGCAATCACCACCACCACCTCACCATGCCTGCGCCGGCCTGCCCCTGCTGTCCGCCCATCATCGCCTGGAAGGCGCTCATCTGTTCCGCCGACAACCCACCCGCACCCAGCCCCGACGGTGCTGCTGCTGATGATGATGTTGATGATGATGATGCTGTTGTTGCTGTTGTTGAGGGTGGTGTTACTGCTGTTGCTGCCTTGCTTGTCGTCACTTCTTGCACAGACCCCTCCACCTCATCATCACCATCATCATCATCATCTTCACACTCATCATTCTTGGCATTGCTCGTGCTGCTGCTGCCTGTCGTTGTTGTTCCTGTCGTTGCCGCTGCCCCAGTGCCGCTGGTGCCACCACTGCCTGCAAAGTTGCGCGCGTTCATCATTGACGCCATGCTGCGGATGTGATCATCCTGCATTGCAGACATCTGTGATGCGTGGCTCTTTGCTCGCTTCAGCTGGTCAACAGAGATGCCTTGCATGCGTGCAAGCATTTCCAACTGCGCATCGCTCATGTTATTAAGCTGTGCTGCTGCCTGCTTCAGCAGAGACGGGTTCTCCTGCACCATGCGCGACGCCTGCTGCGCCATCTCAGGCGACATGTTCGGCGGCATGCCTGCAGGCATCGACGGCGCGGCCTTATGTACGTGCATGTTTGCGTGTTTGCGTGCGTGTGCGCGCATGTGTGTGTGTGTGTGTTTGTGCGTGTGCGCGCATGTGTGTGTGTGTGTGTGTGCGTATGCGTGCGTGTTTTGCATGAGTGTGGAGGCACAAAAGACGAAGCATTGCGTTGTGTGAGACCACATGTGACATAATGGCACTGCGCGCATGAGAGATAGGAGAGAGCTGGCACCTTTCCCCAAACCCGCTTTCACCCCAAGTATCTCAAGTGTTTCACATGCCCGTGCCACCACTGAACTGCCCGGCGCCTACCGGCTGTGATGACGGCGGCGCTGTGGCGCGCGACTGGCCAGGGGTGGCCACGCCCTGCATACGTTGAGCAGTGAAGGACGAGGTGGTGGAGTGGTGGTGGTGGTGGTTGGGTGTGGTGTAAGACGCACATGCAAGGCGTATCCAAGCACAGCAGAATCAGACTCACTCAAGCAATGTACCCACCCATGCACGCAACACACAAACGTGCACACACACACGTACACACACACATATATACACACACACACATACGTACACATACATCCACACGTACATACGTACACATACACACACACACGTGCACACGTACACAAACGTACACATGCACATACGTACACAAACGTACACATGCACACACGTACACTGGTACCCACTACACTCAACCACAGTCCACACGACATCACACTACACCACATGACAAGATGTCAAGACGGACCTTGACGCGGTCGCGTGCTTGCTTGATGACGGTGTCATTTGGCGAGAGGGTGACCGCGGAGTCCAAGTCCTTGGTGGCGCGTGCCTTGTCGCCCTGCATCTCAAACGCAAGACCGCGTCGGTACAGCGCCTTCACGTTGTTGCTGTCCACTCGTAGGACCTGTGCACGTGATCGAAAGCAGCCGGCAAGCGCAGTGCTTGTCATCAGCACCACCATCATGATCAGCAGCACTCAAACAATTTCAGGTGCACATCAACAAGACACATTCCAAGCCCACACGAGAAACAGCGACAGGACACACACACACACACACACACACGCATACACGTACCTCTGTGCAGTACTGGATGGCCTCACGTGGCTGCTTCAGCTGCAGCTTGCACAAGGAAAGGTTGAGCTTGCATGCCTTGTGCAGCGACTTTGATGTGTCGTTGTCCTCCACATCTGTGCATCGCAAGCAACCGCGTCAATGGGCGTCAAGTGTGTGCGTGAGCACGTGAGCATATGTGTGTGTGTGTGTGTGTGTGTGTGTGTGTGTGTGTGTGTGTGTGTGTGTGTGTGTGTGTGTTAGGGGGGAGGGGGGCGCATCAAAACGGCAACAGCCACCTCTTGCACTGCCACACACTCACCAGCCAAGTCCACGATGATCCGTTCATATGTTACAGAGGCTTCCTGGTAGCTGTGAACAATGGCAATGCAAACACCACACATCAGCAACCAACGTTCAACACAACAAGCCCCCCCCCCCCCCCAACTCACACATACAGAGCACTCACTTCTTGCTCTTCACCAGAGCATTCGCGGACTCCTTGTCCTTCACCAGCTGCTCCAACGTGGCCATCGTTGTATCATGCGACAAGAGGGTGTGTGGTGTGGAGGGGTGTGATGGGTGGGTGAAGGTGTCCTTCTCGACGCGTGCATGTGGGAATGCACGCCGCACCGCCACGTATTAATCACGACACCATAAACTGCAGTGTAGTGTCCGCGCGCGGAAACAAGCAAGAAGAGACGAGCGAAACATGGCTGACAGCGACAGCGGTGGCAGTGGTGGTGACGGCCACACAACCATGGGTACGAGAGGCATGATGGGGATGGAGGTCGAGGCAGGCGCGGAGGAGGAAGGTGCGGAGACAGCAGAGCGTGTGGATACATCGAGGCTTTGGCAGTCCTCCAAATACATGAGCTCCCAAGATGAAGAAGAGGACGGGCTGAGCGGCGAGACAGACGGCAACGCGGTACGGCTGCCATGGTCGTTGACCATGCTGTGGTGTGTTCTACCTTGTGCACATTACCCGATCCACACGCACGTTGACATACACCAAACCTCTAAGCCACACGCTCGCCTTGCTCGACGCACATACAAACACACGTCAACTCACGCGCGCAACTGCAACACACACACGCGCACACACACACGCGCGCACACACATACGTACGCACTCGCACGCACACACACGTACGCACTCGCACACGTACACACTCGCACACGCACACGCACACATATGCACACACGCACACGCACATGCACTTACACAGCTGCTGTGGCGAAAGCGCCAAAAGAAAAAGCTGAAGGAGATGCAACGCCGGCAGGAGGAGCAAGAAGCGCTGAAGATGCAGGAGATGTACGCGTCGGACAAGAACACCCGCAATGGCGGTGACGATGGCGCCGATCGTGCGGAAGACGATGCCAGTAGCCAGGACGATGATCACGACGGAGTCGATGTATCTAGCAGCCAGAGCTCGCGCAAGTCGAAGAAGAAGAAGAGCAAGAAGAGCAGGCGAAAGCGCAAACACCGGAAGAAGCGGAAGAAGAAGAGGACAACCCAATCCGAGGACGAAGATGGGGATGAGGAGCACACAGCGCATCAGCGAGCGGTGCACGGCATTGCGCATATCCAAACCAAGGAGGCCGGTGACAGCACGGATCACGATGACAGCATGATGGTGAACACGCTGGCGAAAATGACACCCCTTCGCAGGGAGGCTGCCAGCCCTGTCACCACCACAACAGACACGACAACAACAACAACGACAACAACGACGACCTCCGCAACCACGAGCGGCAGCAACAGCAACCGGTCTAGCAGCCCCGTATCATTGGAGCACGAGCACACGGGCCGTGATGGCGCCGAAGGTGATGGCGATGGTGATGGTAGTGGCAGTGGCGGTGCGCATGCTGGTGATGATGGTGATCATGATCATGATCATGATGCTGGTGATGATCATGATGATGCCGGTGGTGGCGATGATGATGTTCCGTCCATGAGTGATAGCGATAGCGACTTCACCCCAGCGAAACACACGCGCAGAACCGCGACAAAGAGGACGACAGCACGACAGCGACAACGCGGCAAACAGCAGCAGCAGCAGCAGCGGCGGAGTAAAAGAACAACAGCAGCAGCGACA